AGGAATACTTTTATTTCTTTCTTAATTTCTCCTTTGACCCATTCATCATTCAGGAGTGTGTTGTTTAATCTCCATGTGTTCGTGTAGTTACTAGGGTTTCTTCCAATGTTGATGTTAAGCTTTATTGCATTGTGGTCTGATAGAATGAGTGGGATTATTTCAGTCTTTTTGTATTTGTTGAGGTTTGTTTTGTGCCCCAGTATATGCTAGATTTGGAGAAGGTTCCATGGGGTGCTGAAGAGAAAGTATATTCTTTGGTGCTTGGGTGGAATATTTGGTAGATGACTGTTAGGCCCATTGGATGTATGATATTGTTTAATTCAGATGTCTCTCTCTTTATTCTCTGTCCTGTTGACCTATCTGATGGAGACAATGGGGTACTGAAGTCCCCTACTATGAATGAGTTGGGATTATTCTGGGTCTCAATGTTCTGTAGTACTGTTTTTATGAAGTTGGTTGCCCCATAGTTTGGTGAATATGTGTTCATGATTGTAATAGCTTCTTGTTCAATCTTCCTTTGATCAGAATGAAGTAGCCCTCTTTATCTCTTCTGATTAGTTTTAAAGTCTATTTTGTCAGTTGTTAGAATTGCAACGCCTGCTTTTTTCTTAGTGCCATTCTCTTGGTATATTTTTTTTTTTACATCTTTTCACCCTAAGGCAGGGTCTGTCCTTGAAAATGAGATGCGTTTCTTGCTGACAACAAAAAGTTGTGGTTTTTTTTTTTCGGTCTTTTTGAGACAGGGTCTCCCTGTAGCCCCAGCTGTTCTGGAACTCACTATGTAGTCCAGGCTGGCCTTGAAGTGTTTTGTTTCTTAATTCATTCAACTAGTCTGTGTCTTTTGACTGGGGAGTTTTGTCCATTGATATTTAAAGTTATTAATGAAATATGTGTATTGATTCCTGTCATTTTTATTTCTGTTCACATTCTTGGTGTAGCTGTGCATTTCCATAGTTATACCTTCATTAAGTTTCTTTCCATAACCCCTTGGGTATCGTAGGTCCTTTCTTCAGTTCTTTGTATTGCTTCAAGAACTCTCTGAAGGGCTGGTTTTGTGAGCATGAATTTTTTCAGCCTATTTATGTCATGGAAGAGTTTTCTTTCCCCTTTTACTATAATAGGCATTTTGCCTGGGTAAAGTAATCTGGGTTGGCATCTGTGGTCATTTAGAACTGTGAATACTTTGGTCCAAGCTCTTCTGCCTTTCATAGTTTGCACTGAAAAGTCAGCTGTAAATCCTGATGGGTTTTCCTTTATATGTGGCTTGTTGTTTTTCTTTTGCGGCTTTCAGTATTCTCTCTTTGTTCTGTACGTTTAGTGTTTTTACTGTGATGTGCCATGGAGAGTTTCTTTTCTAGTCCTGTCTATTTGCTGTTCAGTATGCTTCTTGTATTTGTATGAACATGTCTTTCTAATTTTGGGTAATTTTCTTCTACAATCCTGTTGAAGTTCTGGTCCATACCATTATTCTGAGATTTTTCTTCTTCCTGTATGTCTATGATTTGTAAGTTTGGTCTTTTTACGGTGTCACACAATTCCTGCATATTCCATTCTTCTATTTTATTAAATTTTTCATAATCTTTGCTTGAGTGGTCTAGTTTGTCCACTTTATCTTCCAGTCTTGATACTCTGTTTTCCATTTCATTCATCCTATTGGTGAGGCTTTCTCTTGTCATTTCTAATTGGCTTACTGGGTGTTTCACGTCCTTCTTCATTTCAGCCTGAGTAGTCTTCAATATGTCTAACTCTTTTCTGAATTCATTCAGAAGTTTATCCCTATCTTCCTTCAGTTCTTTGATTTCTTTGTGTGTTCTTTAAATTCACTGAATTCTTTTATCATGTTTATAATTGTTTACGTTCCATGTCCTGTGTTATCTCTAGGGGGTTCTCATTTTATTCCTCTAGAGGACCGTTGGTACTTGGTGGGGATATGTTATTTGGGTTTTTCATGTTGTTATTTTTTTCTCTGTGACATTGACATGTGAATTTCTTTTGTAGTTTCTTGTGAGACTCAAGCCTTCCTTTGTTGGTTTAGGTCTGCTTCTGTTTGTGAACTTTGTGTGCCTTTGTGGTTTACTTGTTGTGATGAAAAGCTGGTTGGTCCAGGCTTCAGGTTCTCTCTTTTGATTTTATATTGGAGGGGCCAGGTGACTTTCATCCTGCTGCTCAGGAATTCCCACAGAGGCCCAAGTCAGCTGAGGATTAGATGCTCTCAGGGTTTTTCCTAAGTCCTGGATCCCTCCAGGAAAGATGCTGGCCCCTGGAAGCTGGTGGCTGTGCCACCCAGGAATGCAAAGAGACTTGGCCTAGTCAAAGTTTTTTAATTCTGTTTTTTTCATCAACTTATAAATTATTAGGCTTCCATAGGGCTTTTTTATACATCATTAGTTAACCCTTCCCTTCCACCTCTCCTCTCCCCTACCCCTCACTCCATCCCTGCCTAGACCTTTCTCCCTCCAATATCACTTTCATATCATGTGTTCTTGTATCCCTCCTCCCTTGAGGCTTCTTTTTTTTTTCTCTGCCCTAATGGCCCCTTTTTTAGCTTTCTGATGTTTATAGACACTACAAGTTAAGCATACTAGTCTTAAGAATTTGAAACTAAGATCTTCAAATGAGAGATAGCATGTTGTATTTTGTCTTTCTGGGCCTGGGTTACTTCACTTAGTATAATATTTTCTAGTTCCATCAATTTTCCTGTAAATTTCATTATTTCATTTTTCTTTACACATGAATAAAATTTAGTATGCCAGTTGTTTGTGTATATATGTCAGTCACTGCACTGCCACATTGTTTAATCTTCTATTGTGTTACTATAAATATAAAGCAAGTTCAAGTGTTTTGACTTTCATCTGTGAGTATTGAGAGTAAATGTACCTTTCTTAAAAGATTTGTATGGGACTGGAGAGATGGCTCAGCAGTTAAAAGCACTTATTGCTATTATAGAAGACTCATATTTTGTTCCCAGCACCTGATTCCTTCTTCTGGCCTCTGCAAGCACTGCAGGAGAGATGGTTGAGCACTGGCTGCTCTTATAGAGGACCCAGGTTCCATTCCAAGCACCCACATGGCAGCTAATAACTCTCCATAACTGCAGTTCCAAGGATTCCACACCCTCTTCTGGCCTTCACAGGCATTGCACACATGTGGTCCACTTACATACATGCAGGCAAAATACTCCAAACATATGAGAATAAATTTTAGAAAATACTTATATACTAAAAATAATAAAATCTGTATGAGTGCTCTGTAATAGCCTATCAGCCCATTTCTTAAAGTGCATTGTTTATGTTCCATTTGGTTCTGGCATGTATTTGGCAAAAGCACATTGTAGCAGCAGTTTTACACAGTATGCTATTATATTGAATTGATGTATCACTGGAAAAGGATGTAAGTACTTAGCATTTTACATGTTTTGCAACTAATTACATGTTCAAGAGCAGCCTTGATTGTATGTATCTAATCAGTTTGCACAGTGTGGATAGAAGTAATCATATATCAATGGTTTAGGAAATGGAAATTGCCTTTTCTTCCTTCCCCTCTGGATGGGTCAGTGCTGTGAATAGAAGTATTACTGAGAGCAGTGTAAAGTCAACATGCTTCTAAAATTCTTTATTCTTGCTTCCCCTGCTTTGCTTCAGGTGGATCATCCATGCCATGGAGTATGAACTTCAGATCCGTAGCAAAGACAAGCCAGCCATGGACTTGTATCAGCTGTCACCCAGTGAAGTGAAACAGCTTCTGCTGGACATTCTCCAGCCTCAGCAAAGTGGAAGGTAATCAGAGCCTTTTGTTTCCTGGAGGACACGCAGAGACCACGAAACACCTGGTTTTGTCATTTGATACATATGTGAAACTAAGATAGTAATCAGAAAATTAAGTGGGGTTGGAGAGATAGCTCAGCGGTTAAGAGCATTGTATGCTCTTACAGAAGACCTGGATTCAGTTCCCAACACCCACATGGCAGCTAACACCCGTCTGTAACTCCAACTCCAGGGGATCCAACACCCTCTTCCTACTTCTGTAGGCATTGCATAACACGGTGCACCTACCTATATGCAGGCATTACACTCATACACATAAAATAAAATTAATAAGTAAAAGCCAGGCATGGTGGCACATGCCTTTAATCCCAGCACTCGGGAAGCATAAGCAGGCAGATCTCTGTGAGTTTGAGGCCATCCTGGTCTACAGAATGAGTTCCAGCTGGGGCTACAGAGAGACCCTGTCACAAAAAAAGACAAAAAAAAATTAAATTAAAAAATAATAAGCTGGGCGTGGTGGCGCATGCCTTTAATCCCAGCACTTGGGAGGCAGAGGCAGGCGGATCTTTGTGTGTTCGAGGCCAGCCTGGTCTACATAGTGAGTTCCAGGACAGCTGGGGCTACAGGGAGACCCAATCTCAAAAAGACAAAAAAATAAATTAAATAAATAAATGAAAAAAAGAAAATCAGAAATCAGACATGATGGCACAGCCCCTTAGGAGGGTGAGACAAAAGGATTGTTTAGATTTTGAGGCCATCTTGGGCTACAGAATAAGTACCAGGCAATTCAGAACTACAGAGGGATGTTGAGCAGAGTATGAGAGGTCACTTACTAGAAAGACAGTATAAATATGGTCATTAAATGTCCATATTTGTGATTTTGTGTTGATTTGAATTTTATATTTTTTTCAGGTAAGTTGATATCATGTTTTCATTTTTTAATTCAGTACAAAATGTAGCATTTCATACCAGTTTGATCAAATTCCCTTTCTAAAGCCTTACAGCATGTGGCATCTCCTAACATTTTGGCAGAAGGAATTGGGTTTGTTAACATTATTTCAATGTGTTGCCGATTTCTGTCTCCCTAAATAAAGTGTAAGCATCAGAGCTAAACCATTTTATACACTTAACATTCTTAACCTTAGAATAGAGTAAGAAAAAAACAAGTATTTGTGGATTGCCTTAAATTTAATTTTTTTTTATCTGAACCCAGGTCTTCTACAAGAACATTCAGTGCTCTTAACCGCTGAGCCATCTCTCCAGCCCCGAAAGATAAATTTTAAAACAAGCTACACGGCCTCTGTAATTAAAACAATGTGATATTGGTACACAAACAAATAGGCTCATTGAGGGAAGAGGAAATAAGATCTTAAGTAACACGTTAGAAATTTGGTATGTGATGAAATTGACATCGCAAATCACTGGGTCAAGGATAGACTTTTAAAATAAATATTGTTGGAGCAAGCTGTTTGCAAAAAGATAAAATCAGACACTCTATACTATACACAAGAACCAGCTCCAAACAGATTACAGATCTGTATGTAAAATATGGGATTATACAGAAAAAGGAAGATTGGGTAAATTTCTTTTTAACTTTGGTGTAAAAAATCTAAAAGGGGGCTGGAGAGATGGCTCAGCAGTTAAGAACACTGCTTGTTCTTGCAGAAGACCTGGGTTCAGATCCCAGTACCCACATACATCTAACAACTGTCCCTAATTCCAGTTCCAGGGGATCCAACAGTCTCTTCTGTCTTCCACGGGCATTGCATGACATGCGTACACTTACCTACATGCAGGCAATACATGCATACACATAAAAATATAAAAATAATAAATAAAATATTTTTTAAAAATTAAAATCTAAAAACGTTTTTCATAGCAAAAGATAATGTCAAAAGAAAACTAAGAAATGGGAACAAAACATGCTAATATTGAAGAATTTTTAAAAACCAAGAGATAACCATCAAAAATTTAACAGGAAATGTAGGGGAAACATGAGTAATCAATGCATTTATTTTTGTAAAATTACCTTTAGGTATTTTGAAATATATTCTTATTAACTCACAATTAGAGCAATGTGAGTGAAAACAGAACCATTCTGGTCTTTCTCACTGGGGTGTAAGTTAGAAAATATGTCAAGGCTGTGCGGAACAGGAACTGCCATGTGTAACTGATGTACAGCCTTCTAGATGGGATCTGACATCTGAAACAAACTGTGCCTTTAACCTAGGAGTTCTTTTAGTAATCTACTGTGAAGACGTGTTTCCAGCAATATGAAAATGTGTACATAAGATCATTGATTAAATCATTGCTGAAAATAGAAAATTTTGTGATTTCCATAACTGAAATGTCCATGCACAAGAAACTATTTTTGAAAATTTGTTATATCCACATTACAGAGTACTATGACCCTGTGAAAAAGAATGGAACACCTTTTCAGGTGTATTATTAAATGAAAACAGTAAAGTGCAAAGGAAAGTCTGTTGTCTACAATTCTCCATGCAAAAAAGAAAGTGTGTTTTTCTTCATTTGTACAGAAGAAATACAGGAAGAAGAAATCACAAGCTATTGCAATTCATGACCTTCAGGGAAGGTAGCAACAGCATGGAAAACTGATGAAGCAGATACAGCATGACAGTGAAGGCGCAGAACACGGTTCTCCAAGCTTCCCTCTGTGGGCTGTGACATAGTGGGAATGTTTCATGCACTTGAAACATAAGTAATATATTAGAATTAGTCCATATGTGGAAGGAATGCAAAGTAGATTTGAAACTAACACATGAACCCAGCTATAACCAAATGACTAATATTACTACATTGAGGAGAGAGAAACAGTCCTTTTGCTGGGCTTTGTAAGGCTAATTAAACTGTGCACAAACACTGTCTCTAGATAATCAATTTTTCTCATCAATGAATGAATTAGCGATCTTAAAATAATTTCATATGTGCACTAAGATTGAGTAAGTAAGTAAAGATATTATGAATGAAATCCAGATTTCTCATTGCTAATGACAATTATAAAGAAGAAAAGTTCATTTGGGGTAGAAATTGACAGAATCGGCACAAATTCATCGTTGTGCTCAGCTAGAGTTACAGAAATGAATGTGAATCTGTGTTTGCACATATGCATCTATGCATTTTCTAACTCTTACCTGCCGAGATATCCTAGCAATGAAACTGCCTTAGTAGTGAGCAAACCTAATCACAGTTGCACTCTAAACTCTCTAATAGGAAAAAAAAAAGCAACAGCATTTCTTAGAATGGTTGATTCCAAGGTAAGGCAGAAAAATGTAAGGTAAGCCAGGAGCATCTCTGTGCCAGAAAACAAAGAAGTCTCAAAAAATGATATGTAGATGGGCAGTGGGACAGCGGGAAAGGCCCGTGACCCCAGCTGAGACAGTTTTTGTAAGTGTATGCCTGCTCATTTGTGCAGAACGATAGTATTAGATTGTAGACTGTAGATAACTGTCCATTAGCCTGTGCTGATAGAAGGCAGAATCTCATCAGTGAGCATAGATAGAATGACAGAAACAGAAAGTCATCACTGGGCAGATAGCAGTAACAATAGTTGCAGGCAAGAACCACTGTTAGATAGAAGTAATGTGGAATGAAAACTTGCACAATATCTGAGTGTTTCTATTCAAAATACTAATAACAAAGGCAAAACAAATCATTTTATAGTTAAAAACCCCATCAGAGTGCACTTTAATCAAATGATGAGGATTAGAATCACTAGTAATAAGACACCTCAATATCATGTGCTTGTATGAAGCATTGGAAAGGATCCTATGTCACTTCTGGATGTTCTTGCCAAAATATGCATTTTTCATAAGAAACCACCAGACATAGCCAAAATGAGGAAAATACTATGAAACAGCAGATATTGAAGTCATGAAAGCTGAAAGAAGACTGAAGAACAGGCCCGGGTTTAAGGAAGCTTGGAGACATGGAAACTCAGTGACACATGGGGTTCTGAATTGAAGCCTGAACCAAAGTTGGTTATCAACAAGGCTCACAGACAAGCTCATGTGACTGTATGGCCGTTCACTTCCTGATGTCAGTAATTATACTGTGATTATATAAGAGTTAAAGAGGCTGAGGAAAGAGGACATACAAACATTAAGTTATTTTTGTGACTTTTTTAACTGTAAAACTTTTAAGATAAGATAACAATACAGATTTAAAAAGCATCTTAAAAAGTTCCCAACCACCACTCTGAGTGTTCTTATATTCTCTTTATGTTCTGAGCAGCATCCCCTGTTTATAAGTATTATCCGTAACTTCACAGAGCTCTGAAACATCATTTTCTTGTCGTCATCAAACAAAGAAATAGAGATTAAAAAAATTAAATGCAGAGTGTAGGGTATTCAGTTAGCAAAGAAAACACCAAAGTGCCTCTAGACCCTTGGCTTTATTTCCTTCTAGCAAAACACTGAACCTAGTAGTGTGAGTTTGGCTCTATTACTAAAGGGAACTCCAGCCATCCAAAAGAGACTACTCTTAGTTATCAAAAGTATCAGATTTCACTGGTCCTCCTTCACAGAAACAAAAATGTGTTGTGCTGTTTACTCTGTCCTTATGTACACATTTTCATATTGCTGTATAACCTGCACAGCTAATTTCAGACCAAGAAATATTGGTAAATTGTTAATCTTGACACACCTCTCATGTGAATGACTATATTTCATTCTGTCATCTTTATAAGTACCAAGTATGTACACATGTACACACACATGCATGTACCTACACACACACAGACACACACACACACAGAGTCTCTATTTTTAGATTTTGCAACAATGTACTATATCACTGTGTGTTCTTTAGAAATAAAGCAAATTCTGACCTTTGGTAGTTTGTGGACTATGTATTAGGTTTAATATCAAACCTAGAAGTTTGCTTTATTATGGTTATCATATTTATGATATGTAAGATTCTAATCTGGTTGACATAATTTTATGTCTAGTTTTTCAACACTAAGACTTCGGCCATATTTAAATAGGCAACTTTTATAAGGTTTAAAATAAGATAATTTCATTTTATATATGTACTACCTATTTGAGTGTTCACTTACTCATTTACAATATCTGTTGAGCACTATTCTGGGAAAGAGATACATGGATGAGAAATGTTTTTGATCCCCATGCCTTTCTGCTGCTTACATTTTATTACATATGAGAACAACATAAAATTGTTGTGCAGTTCAGAACTGGAGAGATGGCTCTTGCAGAGTACCCAGCTTTGGTTTCCCAGCACCCACATGTATCTTAAGGTAACCAACAACCATCCCTAACCCCAGTTCCAGGGAAGCTGATGCCCTCTTCTGGCCCCTGGAGGTATTGCACAACACAGGTATACCTACATGCACCTACAATCAGGCAAAACACTCATCTGAGGATGTAGTAAGAAACCCATAGCTTACTAGAGAATACATTTGTCTATTAATTTTTTTTAATTTTGAGATTTCATAGAACTCTGTTTTTGCACTGAAGTATTTGCTAGCCTCTGTTACATGTGGCAGCTCTGCACTATTGATGAGTTCTGACCTTTTTTGATTACTCTGTTGGAACGGTTAGTCATGACTTTCTATGAGAACAAACTTGATATTTTAATGCTGACACTTTCATTTGATCTACAGATGTTGGCTAAACAGGCGTCAGATCGATGGGTCTTTGAATAGAACTCCCCCAGGGTTCTACGACAGAGTGTGGCAGATCCTGGAGCGCACACCCAATGGTATCGTTGTGGCCGGGAAGCATTTGCCACAGGTAAAGCCCACTGTACTTATATCTGGGGAAAGGACCTAAAGGATTAAAAGAATTCTGCACTGCAAACAACTTTTCTGCTTTCAAGTGTTCTAAGAGTATTTAAAGGAGGGATGTTTAGGCGCCTGAAAAGATGAAATACTAGAAAGTAAGACATCTCATTTGATTGGAGCTATTTTTGCCAGTCCGAGTTTCTTTTGTTTTCCCATTTCAGTGTTCCTGTATACAAAGAAAGCTTTACCAAAAGGTGATTGCTGATAAGTTATATTTTTTGTGGTATTGTGGTTCTTCAGATGCTTCCAGAACCCTTTATAGTCGATATGTGATAAAGCCTCTTGCTGAGTAAACTATGCTTCCTCTATTTCCTTGTGAATTTAAGACTTCTTATGTTAGCTTTACCTCAAGTTGGGCACCACTGAGCAATGATGGGGCCAGTGTCAGGGCCTCACAGACACAAAGCACTTGCTGAAAGGCAAAAACAGATCAGCCTAAGGATGCAAAATGGCCTTGTGATGCTGTGGATAAGGAAAGCACCAACATGAGCAGTGCAGAGTGTTGGCTTACTGGGAACATACACATGTATTTTACTTGTGGTATAGCTTACTCATGATCCAGATGAATTACTGTCTACACCTGTGCATGGATGGTTTCCTTAGTTGTGTCAATTAGCCTGCTTCATTGATGCAATTATCAGAGTTGTTTAATCTTGGTATTTAACTCATTCTGCTTATACAGAAACAGAGTAGTGCATTTGCTTCTAATGTTGAAACTTTAGCCAAATTAATTTTAATGTAGCTCTTTATACAAATAAATTTTTCAAATTTTGCTTATATAGACATAAGAGTATCTATGTGTTAAAGGATCCCCTGAAGAAACCCCGTTAGCCTTTCAAAGTTGAACTGTATGAAACTATTTCTTACTCAAATAAAAGAACTCAAAGTTTTTAAAAAAAAATATTCTCTACACTATTAACAGGCTGTATTTTATTTGATGCTCCAGCCTTTGTCAGATGCCCTGTGGTTGCTGTTGGCCCTGCTGCATCTGAGGCCTCCTCTCTGCCAGTGTGGGAGTGTATTGTGGTCTCCTCTTGTTAGTTCCTGTGTCAGCCCACCCCTGCCCCCAGTACCTACAGGACTCTGTTTGATCCTGTGATAGCCTCGGCTACATTTACTAGCCTCTCTTTGCATTAATATCAGTAGCAACACTCTCCAAGTATCATTTCATCCTGATAACAATTCTGTGAGAACAGCACTTTCTTGAGTTAGCATACAGAGCAATGGGTTCCATTGTCACATTTTCATGCATGTATCATTATACTCTGTTCTGATTCCTTTCCCTCCCCCACTGCCCTCTTCCATGCCCTGCACTCCCTCTAGCTGGTCCCCTTCTCCCAGATAGTCCCCTCTGCTTTCATGTCACATATAATCCATCACACCCCCCTTTCCTCTTGCTTAAGATCTTTGTCTCCCCTTCCCTCTCAGTATCCCCTTTCTAGCTTGATTACTCTCTCAATAGATGATAGATAGATAGATAGATAGATAGATAGATAGATAGATAGATAGATAGATAGATGATAGATAGATAGAGATAGAGATAGATAGATAGATGATAGATTAGACAGATCCTCTTTCTAGCTTGATTACTCTTGATAGATAGATAGATAGATGATTGATAGATAGATAGATAGATAGAGATAGAGAGAAAGATTAGATAGATCCCCTTTCTAGCTTGATTATGATAGATAGATAGATAGATAGATGATAGATAGATAGATGATAGATAGAT